CAGTGCTAATTTTTGATTTATTTTACGCCAGAGGTTTCAGTTTTACTTTTTATTTCTTATTTCTTATTTACGTTTGTATATACCAAAAAATTCTGAATCTACAGCTCACGATAATGAATGTTCTGAAGTAAACAATATATACACCGATCAAGGTTTATATATTATTTGCTAGTGAATCAAAACTCATGAAGCGAAGAAGAAGCAATAATCGATCTTCACTCCAAATTGCTGGAACATTATTTTTTGCGCGCCAGCCAAAATCAGTGATCACCAACACCGGTCAAGCAAAACTCTAAGAAAACAAATTATAACGTGAAAATATCTATTTGGAAATACATTACAGTTGATACAAACCTAGCTACAAACGATCATTAGACAATAAGTAAAACAATGGTAAATTGTACAGAAAATTATGGAATAAAGGTTTACGGTGCATGAAAAATTGAAGTTTTCTAACCGACTTACATAGAAATGCTAACAAATTATAGAAGTGTTGAGGAAAATTACAGTATTTTACCTGTTATGCATAAAATGCATCCAATCTGAAAATGGCAAAAAGATTTATACATTTGCCATTATTGTATTATTGGAAATTAATATTTATTATTTCTGATCTAATTTAGATATATAGACCGAATCTATAGAGAAAAACTACCAAATATCCACAAATTTTCACTGGATTTACCTAATATCATCTAACAATTTATGTGTTTTTGTGTAATGAATACTAATATGACTTTGAGTGCATAGAACCTTTCCATTCAAGCACTGGCAATCTTTAAGTTATTTCAGTGTTATCCTTTAGTTTTGCATTGATGGTAGTGCCACCTTGCGGTTTGAATCAAAGCTTCCCGGATGAATTCGAAATCAGCAGGTCACATTATTGAAAAATTCGAAACATAAGCTTGATGAAACTACTGAGATTTTCATGAAAATAATGAGAAACCACATACTAGAGTTTGTGGAAATTGAAAACAACTGATTTTTGTATGGCTGTTGGATCAACTTAAGTTTTTTTGTTTCAGTGATGAAAATGACATGAAAGAAGATACAGGCGAAGACTCCAAGTCAGTTAAATCAAATGATGAAAACAAAAAGTGAGTAACCCTATTTTAAATTTTTTTGTAAAGGATTCTTCAAAATATTTTTGAAGTTTATTGTATCTATGTTTCACACAAACTGAATTATGAGTTTGAAAATAGATCTGTATCCTGGAAAGTACCGCACATCATGTGTCCTGGTCTGATACAATTCTTCGAGGTTTCCAGTATTTGTATTTCCACGTACCATTTAGTGAAACTCATGTTATGTTGTATACTTGTAAACATGGGAGTATCTTTAAAAGAAGTCATACATTAAAAAAAATTGTTACATAATCAATTATAATATAATTCAACGTAAGATTGTAATAATTTTCAATAATTCAAATTTGTTCAATAATATGCACAAGGTTTAACATCGATGTTTTTCCCTGTTATTGTGAACATTTCACAAAAGTGTTACTTCAAAACTGAGTAGTTATTTTGTCAGCATTGAAGTTTTACTTGCAAGCGAATATGTCAAGTGGTTACAAATATTAGTTTTTAGTAAATTTTGCTCAAACTTTAGTGAAAGATTTGTAATGAATGTTGCCGAATTTAAAAGATACTGCACAAAAGTCGAATCCCCCCAACCTATTAAAAATCGAGCACACAAAACACAAATAATTTTTATAAATCTCGAAGATATAAAAAGAACTCGATAATGATATTACGCGCGTAGCTAGTGAGGATTACCGCATTTATTGGGGCTGACGTAACCTAAAGAAGCCCTACGCGAGTTCAAGGTGGCCGGCATTTATATTCGACGTAAAAGTTTCATTTTCTAGGCCGTTACAAAATGCCACGAATGCATTTTTACTATCACTCCCACAAACGGCTCGCCGCTAATAATTGAAATTGCAAATTAATATCGACGACAGAACCGTTTTGAGAGAGCTTTCAATTCCATTTGTCTCTAAGTTCCCGATCAACTTTGAAAATTTACCTAATGATGGAACAGTGTGAAAATAAGGATAAAATGATTGTTATTCGTGTAAGGAGTCTATTAAGTAGATATGACCTACAAGCACGAGGGGCTTTCTATAAGTCGGATATCAAAAACCATGGAGAAAGCCCTGAACCATCATATCCTTGAATATGTGAAAGACTTTAACATTTTGAGATATCATCAGTATGGCTTTCGGAAACGAATGTCAACAGGCGACTTTCTATCGGAATAACTCAATCGAGAAATATGGAGAATCAAGAGCAGTTGCGCTTGATATTTCTAAGGCCTTTGACCGTAGCATGAGGGATTGCTGGCCAAACTTTGATGCTATGACTTGTCAAATCATTTTTGCGTATGGCTTGTTAAATCATTTTTGCGTATGGCTTGTCAATTTTTTTTTGCGTATGGCTCTTTAGCTTCCTGCAAGAACGTTCCTGCTAGTGGCAGTCGATGAATATCTCTCGAATACTTTCACTATCAATGCTGGCGTTCCACAGGGATCCATATTGTCTCCAACCCTCTTTCTATTGTATATCAACGACTTATTGTAAAAAACGAAGAATCCAATATATTGTTTTGGATCTAGAAGGGATTTCGAATTGGAGTGGAAGTAACCATGTTCAATTCAATGCTATAAAAACCCAGGCAGCGGTTTTCTCCAAAAAGATAAGTGTCTCCGAACCGGATATAATAATTTCAGTACATTTCTGTTTCGATGAGTTTGTTGGGGATTGAAATGAACACCAATATGGCACAATGATGTCGCTGGAATTTCAAAGGCTGTTTCTCAAAAACTTGAATCAGTGAACTGTACACACCTCAGCTCAGATCAGTCCTTCTTTGGAGTATTCTTCAGATGTATGGAGCTCCGCCTCTGAGCATACACTGAAGCTGCTGAATTCCATCTAGAAAAGAGTCATTCACCTGATTGGAGGCACGAACATCACTTGCAACCTTGATAGTCTGGAACATCGAAGAAAGATTTTATAGATACTTTCACGGAAGATGTTCAAGACTTGGCACATTTGATTCCACCAAGAGCGGTACATATCAGAAATACGCGACGGACTGTGGCTGCTCATCGTTTTGAGGTTCTACTCAGAACACCTCTGACCTCACTGTTTGAGAACTCTCTCATTTGGAGAACTGCGATTATGTGGGATGAACTTCCTGAGTACGTTTTTCCAAATGAATTTGATCTTCAGCGACTCAAATCCACTGTGAATCGCTACTTTCGCACAGGTACCGCTCTTAGAGAACGTTAAGGATTTTCCTGTAGTGTTTGCGTCTCTAAAAACAAGAGTGCTCAAACATCTACCTGAATACCCACAATGCATGTAGACTTAGTCCCAACACAAGCATCCTTTCTTAACAGCCAAATATATTGATAGCTGGATTTACAGTATGGGGTTTGGTAGATAAAATTAATGAAAATAATTCCAATTTCAAACACTGGGAACATTGTTAAAACATGAAAAACATATTCAGTAATAACGGCCCTTTTGTTGATGGGCTTACCCAAATTTCAAGGTTAGCAGAATCTCTTTGCAATGTAAAATTCCACCAAAACTTGGCCAGATACAAGCAATTACAAATTGAAAATGAAACTTTTTTTTGGCCATTTAGGTATGAAATTTGACGTCCAAGAATTCAAGATTGACGATATATACGTTTTTCTTGTTATTTATGAACAATCGCAATATCTCGCAAGACATTTTTTTTTACACAATCATCTAACCACGTGTAGAACGCACTAAAATACATATTCGTGCCAAATTACAACCCTGTAGATGTGATTTTGGCGGAATGAAAATATTTTGAATATCCGAAACCCCGAAACTATAAACTATCACCCGTTTTTCTTTTATGTTATCCCTACCTATCGGCCCCTTTTTGGATTAATCGCATGTAATTCGATTTTGCATTTCTATTATACTTATTACTAAGGAGAAACTGTGTATATTTGTTGGAGTTGTGAAATTGAAATCTCAACATGCAGAAAAGTAGATATTGAAATTACTAGCGGAAATTTCCAAAAAAGAGAGCAAGCAAGAAAACTCACTACCAAAGAAATCAAAATACGACATATTATTGAACTTGATGAGTTTGTGTCTGAAAGTTACGTCTCTGCATGATCTACACGTCTTTGTATAGAGTTTATTTTGAAATTTCTTTCCTCCTTTCTTATGATGCACTGTTTGGAACCTTTGGTGTAGTAATGAATATTACTGGAGTTTTTTTCCAACACTAAATCATTATTTTTAACACCTCGACACGTGTTTCGATCACCAAGTGATCATCTTCAAAGAGGAAGAATTAAAAAGGAAGATTAATCTTCCTCTTTGAAGATGATCACTTGGTGATCGAAACACTTGTCGAGGTGTCGAGATTAAAAGAGGAAGATTAATCTTCCTCTTTGAAGATGATCACTTGGTGATCGAAACACGTGTCGAGGAGTTAAAAATAACGATTTGGTGTTAGGAAAAAACTTCAGTAATATTCCTCCTTTCTTTCTTAAAAATATACCTCATTCAATTTAAACAAGATTTGTATGGTTATAGGATCAAATCAAATAAGCGAATGAATATCATTACGTACTGTTATCGATGACATAAGTATATTTAACTCATTCGTGACATAAAGTCGTGAGTTTATGATTGAACTGAGTGATTCAGCTTGTGAAGTTATCAAAATTGGTGCTGAAGAGGCAATAAGGCAAGTGTCTTATTCCGAAACATCGAATGTCCACCATTGAGGATGACAGTGTTCCATATAAATGAAATTTGTATACTATATTGAGTAGAAATCCAGTGAATGATATATCGAAAGGGCTTTTTCTTTCAGTTTTTGTCTGACCACCAGGTTTTCTGCTATCGAAAAAAATGGATAAAAGAATTTGCTTAAAATTTTATGTGAGTGAAAAATGGAATTGAGTGCTCAAAAACACTTGAAATGTTCACAGTGGCATACGGTGATTGTACTCTAAGTCAGAATAGCTATTTATGATATGAGTGTTAAAAGTAAAGTTTTATTTTGTGAGTGAAAAAGTTTGCGAAACGACCGTTAGCGAGTTGAGCAATTTCACGAACAAAATTAAACTTACTTTTAACACAAATATGTTTTCATAATGAAATAGATAATTTCAATATTTATATAAAAACACATTCTGACATCTATTGTCAGTTGACTATTTTCATGTTATCGCATTTGCTGTGAAGTGGCCGTGTCAGGTGAGGCCGAATCACCTGGTTACCAACAAATAGTATTGTTTACAGCTCACACGTTTTATTCAAAGTCACATTTAAAGTTCTTGCTGGGGTTTGATGTCTTGCCTAATGAAGAACAATATTGAGGAATTGTGTGTTCCTGACGATATTGAAGAGGCTGCAAAAAGAGCTACAATTAAATTGTTACCAGAAAAATCGGCTCAGCAGTACGATATCGCATATTCTAATTTTCTTAACTAGTGTAGACTTAAAAATGTTGAAATAAACTTCAGCGAAACCGTCTTCTTAGCCTATCTAGAAGAGAAATCAAAAATATGGAACTCGTCAACTTTGTGGAGCAAGTTTTCAATGATAACGTCCAGTGATATACAGGTCACTGTTTCAGAAGATCTTCTCATCGCTCTTCAATATCGCAAGGTATCAATATCATCAGCTGTTCGAATTGTAATCATGTCTCAGCGACCGTTTCCACCAGATTTGCCTCCCTGCGACTTTTTCGTGTTGAAAGATTGAAGGGGCTCATGGGAGGACGGTTTTTGATGATTGAAGAGATAAAAACGGAATCGCTGAGATAGCTCTAGGACATACCAAAAAGTGATCAGAACTGTTTCGAGAATTGAAAGAAACGCTGGCATAAATCCATCACATCTGAGGGGGATTACTTTGAAGGAGACAAAATAGAAATTGATAAATACATTTTTATTGGGACAAATGAACACTGACATTTATTTTTTGAACTGACCTCGTGTAGTCCGTTTTTCCTTCTAAATTTATCATCTTGTAGAATTTTCCGGGTACTTTAACAAACATTGCTATGAAGAAATTCTTAACTCGCTACATTG